GGGAAGAGCAGGAGGGTAAAGGAGCGCGAAGACGCCCAGGGAAAAGACTCCTCCTCCTCTTCGCTCCTCCTCCTCCTCTCGCTCCTCCTCGCTCCTCGCTCCTCGCTCCTCGCTCTCGTCCTCCTCCTCCTCCTCCTCCTCCTCCTCCTCCTCCTCCTCCTCCTCCTCCTCCTCTTACTCCTCACAATCCTCCTCCCCCGCCTCCTCCTCCTCCTCCACCACTCTTCCTCCTCCTCCTCCTCCTCCTGCTCTTCCTCCTCCTCCTCCTCCTCCTCCCTCTTTTCCTCCTCCTCCTCCGCCACCACCTCTTCCTCCTCCTCCACCTCCTCCCTCTCCATAATGGTGCCCCCCGCGCTGGGGTGATGGCCTCATGTCTGGAACGACGGGAGCAGGACGTCAATCCCAAACTGGGGCCCACGTTGCAGCGGGAGAACCCGCTGGAAACATCGAAGACATTCCGACCGAAAGAAGCCACATGAAACATCAGCGTCGAAGCTTCTGTGTGATCGAACCGACTACGGAGAGAGGGCACAATGGCAAATGAACGTCTTCGGGAGAGAGAGAGAGAGAGAGAGAGAAAGAGACAGAGAGAGAGAAAGCGAGCGAGCGAGCGAGCGAGCGAGAGAGAGAGAGAGAGAGAAAATAGCCGTATTCATGAAATGACAAATTTGCTGGCGAAGGAATCGGGAGGCGATAAGAGGAGGGAGGAGGGTGTAGGAGGGAAAGCAGATGCAGGATACTGAGGAGGGAGGACAAGGAGATAACGTGGATGAGAAAGGGTGAGAAGGAGGAGGGAGGAGGATGAGGAGGGAGAGCGAGAGAGAAGAGGGGCAAGGTAAGCATGTTTGCGCCATGTCTGACACCCTACCCTTCCCACCAGTCTCTTCCCGTTGCGATAAACCCTGTCTAATATGTTGGCTTGAGTATCCAACATGGCATTGATCCATCCAACTGGCCCCGTCGTGGGATGCGCAATCACAAAGGGGGGCGTTGCACAGATTGGAGGAAGAGGAGGCGGAGGAGCAGGAGGAGAAACAGGCTCCCTAGGAAGGAAGAGAGGGGCAGCACGAGAAGTAATAGGAGGAGTGGGCGAAGCGGGCGGGAGAGGAGGAGGAGGAGGAGGAGGAGGAGGAGCACTGCGGGGATGAGAAGGAGAAGGAGGAGGGAGAAGGAGGAGGGAGGAGGGAGAAGGAGGAGGGAGAAGGAGGAGGAGGGGGGGAGAAGGAGGCGGAGAAGGAGGAGAGGAGGAAGAGGAGAGGAAGAGGAGGATGAGGAAGAGGAGGAGGAGGAAGAGGAGGAGGAGACGGAGGAGGGAGAAGGAAGGATGAGGGTCCGTGCGTCTGTGCCCGACGAGGGCTGCCGACCCACCACACGGTCCTGGCCACCCCTGGATCAAGCAGTAGCTCGCGGCTCGGTCGAGAATGAGCTGAGCCACAAGTGACACCTGGTGTGCGTTGCAGTCGGGGACGGAGGGGGCACGGGGGAGAGAAAGGAGAACGGATGGTTCTCACTTCTCCTCCTTCTCCTCCTCCTCCCTCCTCCCTCTCCTACTCCTCCTCCTCCTCCTCCTCCTCCTCCTCCTCCTCCTCCTCCTCCTCCTCCTCCTCCTCCTCCTCCCTCCTCTTCCCTGCTCCTGCTCTCATCCTCCCTCCTCTCCGGCCGCTTTCCTAGATCTCGTCTGCGACGCCGCGGCGAGGCGGCTCGAGGAGGGCTGCGCGGTCACGGCCTCGTGGATGTACACCAGGCTCCACGAGTGGATCGAGGAGGCAGTCACCGAGTGGTCCCGCTGCGGTGTCGTCGAGCAGGTGCAGCTGAGCTTCGCAGACCAGGAGGAGGCTCCGAGCACCAAGGACCCCGCGGCGCACGAGGAGCAACAGAGCTACGACAACCCGGACACGACGCTGGGCACGCGGGGGCGCGAGGATAACGAGGTCTACGAGACGCCGCCAGCATTCCCCGAAATCGTATACGACGTCGCGACGAGGCGTATCGAGGAGGGCCACGTTGTCGCGGCCCCGTGGATGTTCGCCAGGTTCCACGAGTGAATCGACGAGGCAGTCACCGAGTGGTCCAGCAACGGTGTCTTTGAGCAGGACGACATAGGAGACATAGTCTGGATAGTCGGGCTGAGCGACAACGAGGGCGACGAAGAGGACACTGACATTGAGTGGGAGGCAGCTGGCTTGCAGGCATCTGTGAGGAGCGGGTGCCACCCTGCCCGCGTACCCCTGCGTGTGGAGAGCCGGTGCAGGGAGGGCCAGAGCGCCGCATAGCCCGAGCGACCTCCCACAAAGTGACCACAGCAAGGCCGATGTAGCATTTGTCACTGTTATGCCGCACTAGTAGCACAGCAGTAACCCCGAAGTGGCCCCAATGCTCGATCGATCGATCCTCCTCCTCTTCCTCCTCCTCCTCCTTCTCCTCCACCTCCTCCTCCTCCTCCACCTCCCCCCTCCCTCACTCCCTCCCTCCCTCCTTCCTCCTCCTCTTCTTCTTTCTCCTCCTCCGCCCTTTTGGGATAAAGGAGGGGAAGTGGGAAGACTGACTGAACCAACGCGTATGCTGGGACCCGCTCGCGCAGCCTCTTACCCTTGAGGCACGGCGGAGGGGGCTGGTGGCCTCATGGCCAGTTCGGGCAAGGCCCGCGCCAGGCAGCTTAGCTCTCCTCCTCTCTCACTCCCTCTTTACCCTCCCCCCCCTCTCTTCCTCTTCCTCCTCCTCCTCCTCCTCCTCCTCCTCCTCTTCCTCCTACTGGCACTAGCCGCATCACTCCTCCTCCTCATCCTCATCCTCCATTCCATTCCATTCCATTCCATTCCATTCCATTCCAGTTCCTTATGAATAATTCTCCCTCTCGCACCACGAGGCCGTCGAAAGGGCGGGCCGGGCGTTCCGCCTGAGACTTCCTCACGGTTTATGTGCCTGAAGCTCAAACGTTGACAACCATTTCACAGATGGAGGGCGGATGATTTTGAACATGTTTCTTTCACCTTAGCGCCGCGCCCCGTCGCTGTCCCGTAAATGTCCCGTCGGTGTCCCGTTAGCGTCGTCGGCGTCCCGTCGGTGTCCCGTCGGTGTCCCGTTGGTGTCCCGTTGGTGTCCCGTCGGTGTCCCGTCGGTGTCTCGTGGTGAGATCGATCGAGTGAGATCGATATTGGGATCACATCGCGGCGCAGCATCGTGATCACGCGTCGTCGCCAGCTCGAGGGCGCATCACCAACATCATCATCAGCATAGTCATCGCAGTTGCCGTCAGTTGACTTCCCCCCACCTACCCACCTCCTTATCACCCGACGCATGTAAATATGTATACAAAAACAGCTGTCATCCTAACAAATCACCCCTCTACCAACATGTATGTCGAATTGTCCTTCGAAATGCTACCCGTCTTTCGATCGAACTACTTGTCGGTCTAACTCCCCATTCACCGATCTCGGTGTGGTACAACCATTGGGCAAACGCGAGACAAACGCGGGACAAGCACAGGACAACCATAGGACAACCATGTGACAACCGCGGGGCAACCTCAAACAACCACGGGACAACCACTGGCCACAAAACAATCGCGGGACACCCACGGACCAACCACGGAACAACTACGGGACGATCACAGAACAACCGCGGGACAACCACAAAACGACTACAGGACAACTACAGGTCAACTGCAGGACGACCATAACCGGGCTCAACCACGCGGGCCACCGCACGCCAGACGAGGAAGAATCATCTGATGACAGCCTGCCGTATCAAGGCAGAGATCGGTCTCGCCCTCGCGCATTGCCCACAAACGCGGCACGCACGAGCCAGGTGCTTCGCCTGAGAACTCGTCACAACTCATCATGCGAAGCGATAACACATGCACTGATGGAGGGCGAATCGTGTACAACATGTGCGTCTCGCTTTTGTGCCGCGCACAATCGTCCATAACATTTGCAGACGTTACATGGCTGGCAAGCGGTTCCTTGTCACAGTGGGGCTATCGCTTGAGACTCACACTGGACTTGCAACATGCGAGGCATTCAGATGGGGCTCTCGATCGAGACCTCGCCGATGCCATGAGAACTGTGTTGTTGTTGGAGCCCAGCCCCGAACTGGGCCCCTCCGGAAGGTAAGCCGTCCTGAAATGATCCAGTCGCTGGAGTACATGTTCAAGCGTAGACAAAGCCGTGACGTCTCCTCCTCATCCTCCTCCTCCTCCTCCTCCTCCCCCTCCCCGTTCTCCTCCTCCTCCTCCTCCTCCTCCTCCTCCTCCCCGTTCTCGTCCTTATCATGGTATACCTGCGTCTCCTTCATCCCTTCGCCTTCTCCTCTTGCTCATGCTACTTCTGATCTCCTCCCCCCTCCTCTTCCTCCGCCTTGCTGTTGCCCTCGTCCTCCTCCTCCTCCTGCTCCTCCTCCTCCTCCCGCTCCACCTCATCCTCCAATATGTTCTGCATCCTCCTCCCGCTCCTCCTGTTCCTCCTCCTCATCATCCTCCTGGTCCCCATCCTGCTCCTCCTCCCTTCTCCTCCTACCTCCTCCTCCTCCTCCTCCTGCTCCTCCCTCTTATTGTCCTCCTCCTCCTTCTCCTCCTCCTCCTGATATCCTCCTTCCTCCAACCCCCGCTTCTTCTCCTCGTTCCACCCTGCCGCTCCCGCTCGTCCTCCTCTCGGCTGCACGCGGGAGTGACCCTAAGCAACAGTGGCCTTTGGTGCGCGATCTAAAAGGTGGGGCCCTTGGGGCACACCGCCAGGCGCGCAATCCACTGCCATCGCATCGCACTCAGCGGTGAGGGGCCCCATCGGGCCCGCAGCCCGCACCAAAGGTCACTCTTGCGAAAGGTCACTCTTACAGGCCGACCAGGGACAGCAGGACATCGCTCAAGAACGCGAGACCCGTCGCCGGCCTCAAACACCTCAAACCATGAGATCACTCGAGGGCACCCTCCCCGAAGCGACCTCGATCTTAGACCTCGGTCCGACAGTAATCGACCCTCCCACGCTTCCGCCCGGCTCGCTCCGCCCCCCTTGCCCCAGGCGAGTAGGAGCATACCCTCCTCCCAGCGAGGAGGAGCATACCAGCAGGAGGAGCACACCTCGTCCTCCTCCCAGCGAGGAGGCTTGCCCCTCGTCCTCCTCCCCAGCGAGGAGGCGCATGCCCTCAGGCGGTGAGCCTCGCCGCGTGCGCCTCACACCTCGTCGTCGGACGTCGAGGGGGTCATGATCTCGAGGTGCGTGTCTGGCTGCTTCGGAGGCCTGGGCACGCGCAGCCCCTCGTCGTCGCCGCCGCCCTCCTCCTCTGCCTCCTCCGCCTCCTGTGTGGGTAGACGGAGGCGAGAGGAGGAGGAGGAGGAGGAGGAGGAGGAGGAGGAGGAGGAGGAGGAGGAGGACGAGAGGGAGGAGGATGGGAAGGCGAAAGCAGCAGGGAAAGAGCGAGAGAGAGAGAGAGAAAACCAAAAACAAAAAGATGAGGGGGGCGGTGGATGAGGATGAGGATGAGGATGAGGATGAGGGGGATGATGATGATGATGAGGAGGAGGAGGAGGATGCTGACGCTGATGCTGCTGGTGCTGCTGCTGATGATGATGCTGATTGTGATGGTGATGGTGATGGTGAGGATGAGGATCAGGATGAGGATGATGCTGCTGCTGCTGCTGATGATGATGATGATGAATCTGGCACTACTATTTAAAGCATTGGTGATCATATAAGCATTAGTGATACGTACACAACTAAGACTAGTAATAACAATGTAACAACATGTTCATAGTAGCAATGTTGATACTACTACCTATACAACCACCCTGCGGGTGATAAGGAGGTTGACGGGGGGAGGGGGCCAGCAATGGGCAACAATGGTGATTGTTGTTCTGACGATGTCAGTGGAGATTGTTGCGTTGCCGCTCGCTCTTGGGAGCCTTGGTGTCGAGTTGTTTACGTCACCCTTCGCTCTTGGGCGCCTTGGTACCAGTCCCCCCCCCTGGGAACCAACTAAAAAATACATGATTTCGTTAATTTTGCAAAAGCTTGGGGGGCCGTTCGTTTGGGCTCGTCTTTTGGACCCCTTTGGGGGCTCTTGGGGGCCTCTTGGGGGGCCTCTTGGGGGCCTCTTGGGAGCCTTTTGGGGCTTCTTGGGGGCCTCTTGGGGCCTCCCGGGAGCTTCTTAGAGCGACCCTTAAGAGCCTGTTCCGCCAACGTTCGTACTGGGAGCCTTGGTGTTCAGAGATTGTTGCATTGCCGCTCGCTCTTGGAACAGCATACAGCACGGGATGTCGATGTGCCTGACGATTTGGATTTGCATTTGGCTTATCACTGTGCATGTCGACTTGCTTTTCGATATGCATTTCGATCTGCATTTCGATTTGCATCCCACTATCGGTCTCACTATCGATCCCACGATCGATCTCACTATCGACCTTACTATCTATCTCACTCGATCCATCTCACTATCGGTCTCGCTCGATCGATGTCACTGTCGATCTCACTCTCGATCTCGTTTTCGATCCCACTATCGATCTCACTATCGATATCATTCCATCGATCTCACTATCGATCTCACTATCGATATAACCCCGTCGATCTCACTATCCATCTCTCTATCGATCCCAGTCGATCGATCTCAATATCGATCTTACTCAATCGATCTCACCATAGACCCCACAATCGCTCTCACTATCGATCCCACAATTGATCTCACCATCGATCTCACTCGATCGATCTCACTATCGATCTCACTATCGATTTCACAATCGATCTCACAATCGATCTCACTATCGGTCTCACTATCGTTTTCGCACGAGCGGGACACCGGGACACCAGCGGGACACCGGCGGGACACCGCGCGGCCCCGTTTGCCGGTCGGGAAGCATTTGGTCCGGCCGCGCCTCAGCCACAGGAGACTTACCGGGACACCAGCGGGACACCTGCGGGACACCGCTCGGGGGGGGAATCGCTTGGTCCTGCCGCGCCTCAACCACAGGAGACTTTCCTCTTGCCCGCCCACGCAGCTTCGCCTCGCCCGCACGCACGGCCCGCACGAACACGAAACCGAAACCGATTTCCCGGTGGGGGGCTCTCCGTTCCACTTCGATCTCACCCCCCAACCTCCGACTGACGATGACGATGATGAAGAGGAAGAGGCTGAGTCTGAAAGCGTATGGTAGATGTCAATGATAAACTTGTTTATCGCATCCACGGCCCCGCGCGGGCCACAAGCTATCTGCGGGGGCGCCAGGCGCCCAGTACAACAAGCTCTAAGGCCGGCCTGCGGGCCGAGACGGGCAGCGGGCAACGGGTGAGGAGGCAGAGGCAGGTGCACTCAGAGGGGCAAGTAGACAAGGTACTGGTAGGAGAGGGTCAGGGCTAGGCGGGCTCCAGAGGGGTCCTCGGGTACACCTCCAGGGAATCTCAGACTCATTATTTTTCTTTTGTAGCTCTGACCATCTCAGCCATCCTGCAAGTCTTCATCTCGAACTCCAGCGGCCGATCGCTCACGTCGTAGTCGATCAGCTTCAGCTCGATCGGGTTTAGCAACTGACTTCCGTGCGGCTCGCTGTGATCTCTTCTTCTCCTTTATCTTCACTGCAGCCTGGTCCTGCTGAATCTTAGTCTGGTTCGTTCTCATGTAATGTCGGGAATACTCCAGATCAGCTCCCTCTTTCGTCAGAATGTCCGCAAAGTTCTGCAGTCCATCTACCCACCGTAGTGTCGTGTTTGGTTGCCTCAAAGCCTCTTTCAACAAAGCTCCTTCTATCGCCATCCGCTTGTCTCGACTAAGGCCTGATCCTTCTTTCGTCAAATAATCATGCACCGACTTGGCATCAGTCAAGAAAACTCTGCTTCTTCTCGCCACGATCTTCTGCCAGTTCTTCAAGTCGATCCTCGGGTTGAACACTTCTTCAAGTAAAACACACAACCACTCAACAGCTTCCAGTGAATCTGCAAGGTGTGAGGCTTCAGCTGCAAGTGTGCTCTGGCAAACTCTCTGTGTCGACTTGGAGCTGTAATCCATCATAGCTGCTGTCACCAGCTTCCCCGACAACACGTCGTGGTCCACTATGAAGAGGAAATGGCCACCGATGCTCTTGTACCTGGCGATCTCGTCACTCTCGGGGTTGCCGTTCGCATGTCCTGAATCGCATTCAATCAAGACCGTAGCTCGACTGAGGTCGATACCCTTCGGGAACTTCTGCATATAGTCGGCGCCTCTCTTGCCGTCGTTGATGGCCTTGTTGGCCTTCACCAGGTCGGCGATGCACGGCGCTACCATGGCTCGTTGAGCTTGCCCCGCTGCTTGAAAGGCTAGATCTGCTCGAAGTTGCCGCGACAACCAGGAGATCTCTCCCGTAGCCTTCCGTAGCCGTGTCACTTCGTCGTCGGTAAGCGGGCTCGCCAGCTCCTTCTTCCGGTCTCGATGGGATCGGAACCGTCTTCATGTTCAGCGAGCAGCCCTTCATCGTTACTCCAACATCGCCGTTAGGTAAACGCTGTATCTCACGTCCTCTGAAAACGAAATCCTCTTTGAGCCATTTCGAGAAATTCAGCTTCTGTCTCGTGCATCTGAAGGCCGTATCTTCGTATCTCTTTTGAACTCCAGCCAGCAAATCATCCACGTGAGTGCATAGAATACCCACCAAAGCGCCTGCTTTGTCGCGTAGGTAAAACAAAACCGGTTCCAAAACAGACTGACCCATCCGTCCTTCTCCAACACTTCGCAGAAAGCCAACCAAAATAAACGAGCAGCCTCAGCAAATCCATCGATTGCCTTCTTGGCCCTCAATAGTTGTCTCGGATGTAGTCCCTTTAGACCTCCACGCGGCTGGCTGATGTAGATTTCGCGTCCTATACCCCGACCTGAAAAGTAGGCATTCTTTATGTATCCGCAGCTCATAATCATGCCCATGCTGGCGATCACGAGCAACACCATTGCCTCCGCCAAATTCGACGCTGTCGGCGCATCTCCTCGGTACTCGCCGAGGCTCTTGTCCTTGAAGCCCTGGGCCATCATCCTCGACTTCGCCTCGAACTCGGCGTCCAAAACGCCTTCACTCTCGTTGGTTCTCACCCACTTGGCCGGTATGATCAGGTCGCGCTTGGTCTCCCAGATCTGCTCACTCTCGCCGAGGCTCAGCGTATCGCAGGCACCCAGATCTTGCCAGGCCTTCCACTCCTTTTCATCCGAACCTCCAGGTCCGATGAATAACTGACGCTTTGCCTCGTCGAGCTCCTTCAAGTGTAACTCCTTTCTCCCCTTCTTCGCCACTGTCGAGCCAGCCTCATAAGAGTCCTCGAACTCATTACGCTCAACGCCGAAGGCGGAAACCTCCTTGCTGACCTCGTGCTCGGCGTAGAAGGACTGGTTGACGTCATATGTTGAGTGGGCCTCGTTGATCATAGAGTCCTCATCCTCGTAGACCTGAAAGGCGTCGTCCATCTTGATCGACTCTGGGACGTCATCCAGCAACTTCTGTCTCTTCGCCCCCCGCTCTGCAGCTTCCTCCGCTGGCCGACCCTCCTTGTACCTGCTAGCAGCTCCTTCCGCCGGGCGAGGCGGGAACGATGCCGCCGGAGTGTGGACATCGTCAAGATCAGGGCCCCGCTCGTCGCCCATCGGCACTTGATCGGATCGGACAGCCTCGTTGACAAAATCCTTCACCGCGTCCTCCATCGGGTCCTCCGCTTGTGTCGCTCCTCGTGGCTCGATTGGCGGCGGCGGTCCCTGCTGCATCATCGGGGGCTCCTCCTGGTAGGGTTCCTCCGTCACCTCCTCCGCGGGCGGCTCCTCCTCTTGGACCAGTGGCTCGGCAGGTGCTTCACGCTCTGCCGGCTGCGGCACCTCTGGTGGCGGTGCCTCTGGCGGTGGCTGAGCCGCCGCTAGTTCTGGTTGAACTGGCCCTCCATCTCGAAACTCTGGAGGAAGAGGCCGTCGTCGTAGATCGATAAATCCACTGCCTCCAGCCGTCCCGGTGGTGTCTATCAAGTCCGCCTCCTGCGCCGTCACCAGCCATGCTCGGACCTCCTCGTCGGAAGCCTTGGCAAGGTGCTCGGGAGCGCAGGCGATCGTGATCCCGCGGTGCACGATCCAGATCGTGTGCTTACCCTCGTGACCTATCACGCGTGCGACTCCTCTCCAGTTGATAACGCTCTCGGGCCGTTTGCCCTGCTCCTTCTGGTCGTAGTAGAAAACCCAGTCGCCCACGTTGAAAGGTCCACGTTCTGGTCGAACTTGTCGAAGCTCGGCCCTCTTGATCGCGTCC